CTATAATAATCAAAACAGTATGGTATTGGCATAAATATGGATGTACAGATCACAGCTCAGAAAGAAACCCTCACATATATGGTCAATTAATTTCTGAGAAGGGTGCCGAAGACCATTCAATGGGAAGAAATGATGCTGGGAAAACTGGATGTTCCCCTGCTGACGAATGAAGGTGGGCCCCTTCCCTCATACCAATATACAAAAGTTAACATGAAATGGATCAAAGACCTAAACTTTAAGAGCTGAAACTATAAAACTTTTAGAAGAAAATATAGGATCAAATCTTCATGATTCTCCCATAAGAACAGAGACATAGACCAATGGAACAGAATAGAGATCCCAGAAATAAGCCCACACGTATGCGGCCAAATATTTGACTATGGAGCCAAGAACACACAATGGAAAAAGGATGGTCTCTTCAATAAATGGTGCTAAGAAAACTAGAAATCCACATACAAAAGAATGAAATTGGATCTCTGTCTTATACCATTCACCAAAAATTAACTCAAAATGAGTTAAAGACTTCTTTCTTTTCTTTTCCTTTTTTAAAGATTTTATTTATTTCTTTGACAGAGAGAGACATGGCGAGAGAGGGAGCACAGGCAGGGGGAGTGGGAGAGGAGGAAGCAGGCCTCCCGCTGAGCAGGGAGCCCAATGCGGGATTTGATCCCAGGACCGTGGGATCACGACCTGAACCAAAGGCAGACGCTCAATGACTGAGCCACCCAGGCGCCCCAAGACTTTTTTCAAACTGTGAAATGATCACCAAGATAAGCCTAGTTAACATCCATCAGCACACATAGCTACAGAATTTTTTCTTGTGATGAGAGCTTCCAGATTGTAGTACAGTGCTCCCGACTATAGTCACCAGGTTCATACATCACATCCCTAGGACTTATTTATTTTAAACTGGAAGCTTGTGCCTTGTGACCTCCTTCCCCAACCCCTACCCCTACCCACCACCTCTGGCAGCCACCAGTCTGTTATATCTATGAGCTTGCATCTTTTTTTTTTTTTAATAAGATTCCACATATATGTGAGATCATACAGTATTCGCCTTTCTCTGACTTATTTCACTAGAACAACGCCCTCAAGACCCAGCCATGCTGTTGCAAGATTTGCTTCTTTCTAAAGGGCTGAGTCCTATTCCATGGCACAGAGGAATAGGGGTGTTGGTCAAAGGGTACACTTGTAGTTATAAGACAGGCAAGTTCTGATGATTCCGTGCCCAGCGTGGTGACCACGATGAACAATACTGCGTCATGTACTTGCAAGCTGCTATGAGAGTAACTCTTCAGGCCTTTTATCACACACCAAAACAAGAAAACTGTGAGGCGATGGATGTGCCAGCAAACCTCACTGTGGCGATCACTTCGCAATACACACGTGTGTGAAATCATCCTGTCGTACGTACACCACCGCAATCTTAAATATTATATCTCAAACATTTTCTTTAACTAACTTTTTAACAGTTCAATTTATTAAAATTAAGTGTTTCTGTTCATCAAAATACACCAGTAAGAGAAAAAGCTGCAGACTGGAAGAAGGTTCAGAATGTCTGAAGATATTCCCACAAGTCAATAATAAAAAGACAAACAATCCAATAAAAATGAGCTCCTGTCTTAAAGAGACATTTCACAAAGGAGGATTTCCAATGACCAATGAGCACCAGTAAGTGAGAAGGTGCTCCTCAGAATTAGTCATCATCTTAGAAAGTCTTATATAATCTCTATGAAAAATCAGCCTTGATAAATGTGCTGTCAAAATGTCTCCTTACTACTTTTTTCTCTGCTTGATCTATTGATGATTGAGAGGAACACCTATTCTGAACTTGGTCAGTCATCCAGTTAAAAAATTACTCAGACTTGGTCACTCCTCTGCTTAAACCATCCCATATTTTTCCATTTCTTTCCGTTCAAAGCCTCCTCAGATCCCAAGCCCCACCTCGACTCCTCTCCCGTTGCCTTCCCGTTGCTCCCTCTGTTCCAGCCACTAGCCAGTCCCTCTAGCTGAAACGTTCCTCCCCACACATGACTTGTTCCCTTGCCTTCTTCAGACCTTGGCTCAGATGTCACCTTCACAAACGGGCCTGCCCTAACCACTGTCCTGAGGTGACAGCTGCATTTTCCCCCACATATTAAGGGCTACTCTATATCTGTCTATAAATTGAATACATTATAGCCACGATTTTATATTTCTAAGATTTAAAACTGTAGCTTCCCTTGCAGAAGGATGGTAGATTCTGTTTACAACTGAACAGAAACAGCATCCGTATTATAAAGAAAATGCACCAGCATCTTACACAGAAGCAGGAAACCCTCCCAGGGCCATCATGGCCGCCAGAGGCGCAGGGGCCCAGAGACAGAGCCGAGTCTAGACCTGCTTTGAGACAGCACATGCTCACGATGCGGAGGACAGCAGAGCTTGAGAGACTTGGCTCATCACAGCGGGCAGTGAACAAGTGACTGTCCCTACGCTCCTGTCCCAGAAGCTTGTGAAGTATCACAGGGGCCAGACCCCTCTCAGGAGGCCCCTTCCACCAGGCATCCAGCCCGTTCCCTCCTGGCCTCGGGGGAACAAGGCAGGTGACGGGTCAGACTGTGCAGTTTCTGCTCACTAATCTCCCCTATTTGACTCCAGTCTGTGCTCACACCATGTGGCCCTAGAAGGTGTGCATCTCTGCCCTCTTTGCATAATGGTGGACGGTGCTCAAGGGGGAAAATGACATCCTATCACCCGAAAAAGGCAATGCGTCTGGAGCTAACCATTCTGTTTCTGAACAAGGGTTTGTATTTATTCATTTTCTTCATCAGGTCAAACTAGTGGCAGATGTGAAGATAAAACTAAGACCCACTGAAGACCTACCATGTGTCAAACCTTGGGCTAGTCACTTAGAAAGCACTGTGAGGAAAGCCTTGTTACTCTTCTCCCTCCAAAAATGGAGGCCAGAAGCTTCAGTGGTTGAGTCAGGGGCAAACCATGTCTGCAGCTAACCTCTCTTAAAGAGTGGAGAAGGAAAGGCCACATTTGTCATTAGATGGAGGGAGCATCTGGCTCCAAAGAAATCCTAAAGAAAGGTAAAGCCCAAGGGGCGCCTGGGTGGCTCAGTCGATGAAGCGTCTGTCTTCAGCTCAGGTCATGATCCCAGGACCCTGGGATCGAGTCCTGCATGGGGCTCCCTGCTCAGCGGGGAGCCTGCTTCTCCCTCTGCCTCTCCCCTGCTTGTGCTTTCTTTCTCTCAAATAAATAAATAAAAAATCTTCTAAAAAAACCACATACGCACAAAAGAAAGGCAAGGCCCAAAATAGCCTGAAGCACCCCTGTCCCCAAGGGGAAGATGACTCCTTGAGCTGCAGAAGGAGAAGCTACAGTGGGAGCATGGGTTCCTCTCAGGACTGGTCAGCAATGCCCTGAGGGTACAGAAGACATGAAGAAAATGTTTGGAGGACTGGCAGGGTCTCCAAGTGACATGGTTGTAAGTGCGCACACAGAGACGGGCTCTTCCTGATCACCGAGAGCAGGGTCTGACCCTGGTAGTACTCAGCACTTGTAGAGTTAAGGCCTCTTAAAGTGGACCCAGGCTAGACAATCAGATCATGAGCTGGCCAGGTCAGAGCTTGTTAGGGGAGAACATCTTGCAGTAGTAGCCGACTCAGGAAGGGGGTATGTGCAGGCATGAAGGCAGTGAGAGAGCTAGGTCATTAGGTCCACAGAGGCTGAGGGGCCAGAAACACAGATGCAAAGAAGTGGAATCAAGAGGCATGAACGTGCTGCGTGAGAAAGGAGAGCCCCTCAGAGAAGCCAGGTGCATCTGCCTGCAGGCCCGCGTGTCTTCCAGACGCTGTGGCTGTAGAGGCCAATGTTGCGTCCTCCTGGAAGTCCTGCTGATCTCCTGGACTCCTACTTTTTGCTGTCCTAAGCGAGGCTTGTAAGAAACCAGCACTGAACCTGGAGCTGGGCAGTGCTGAGGAAGCAGGCAGGCCACCTTCGGCCTCACACTGAGCTATGCTCTCTGAAGCCCTTGCCCGCTCTTCATCTTCCTGCCATTTCTGTTCCCTGTTTGCTGGGAAACACTACACTTGGCTGGCACATAGCAGGTGTTCCTTACTGTGCAGTCTCCCCAAACTACAACACTCACCCTCATTTTCATTGTATGCACACATTGCTGAGGATGGTCAAAGCGACAGTGGAACCCTAACCCAGATGAGCACTGTGTGCACACGGGGTGGGGTGGAGAGAGTGTGAACCCACAAAGATGGCCTCAGACCCCGCAAAGCCCCTGGAGCCAACAATGAAGCTTGGAGACAAGGCACATCTGGAGCACCAGGAGACAGGACTCAAGATGTCTGGTCTACCCTCCTGCGGTGAAGGCAGAAAGGGACATGTAGGATCTGCCAGCACTGCAGAGCCCCCTTCAACCCTCCAGGTGTGGAGTCCCAAACTGTGCACATGGGCAGTGGGGTCAGTTAAGAGTCAGCCAATCTCCAGGCTGACCACAGTCAGTCCTCATTTCCTTCCATTCTGCTTCATCTTGGGGAGCTCCTCCAAGAAGGCATCTGTACCACCTCTAATCAATCTGTCATCGGTCTCCATTCCCACTTGCAGACTCTCTGCCCACACAGAACATGCAGGGTCCCTCAGCTCTCACCGCCTCACCCTGCACTGCTACAGTAGTCTCCTGGGTGACCCGTCCCATATCTGCTGCCCAGGCTCCTGGAGAGAGCTCTATTTACTCAGTCCTTATGACTTGCTCCCCCTTCTCCAACACACACAAGCTGCTATGATCCCCCTTATTCCCCGCCACATACCTAGGTTCCAGCCAAGACTACTCCCTTATCAACCCTGTAGAAGTCATGCTCCTCTGTGCCAGCCTGACCTGCTGTGGGCCTGGTCCTTCTTCCCTCATCTCCCAACATACTTGGACTTGCCCACAGCACTGTCCCCTAGGCCAGCCCGACCTGCTGTGGGCCTGGTCCTTCTTCCCTCATCTCCCAACATACTTGGACTTGCCCACAGCGCTGTCCCCTAGGCAGATGATCTTCACGTTTTCATCAGCATCATATTTGTCTTGGTTGAGCTCACAGGGTTTGGCTTTGTCGCTGGCCATTGGCTCCTGGCTGTTCAGCGCCGGGGAGGTATGTGGGTGTGGGGACTTGTCGTTGCCTGGGAAGATCAAGAGGAGACTACTGTTAAAGAGATGAGAAGTTTCCTCAACCAAATCTACATTTTCTTCTTCCTGGACAGGAGAGAGAAGCTGATGAGATAAAGGGCCAAGGACACACGTCCATCCTTCTCTATTCACTACCAACCTGGGTGCCACTTGCTGAACTGTGGAGGTGTACTCTTGTCCCCATCCAAATCCTCTTTGGGTGGTTTACTCTGTGTCATGTCTTTACCACAGCTCTCTGGTCAGGGGCACACCTCCCACTCCCACCTGGAAAGACTATTTCACAAGTTGCACATGGGCAACCTTTCTCACCGGTAAAACTGGACCAACCCCTCCCCCCAAAAAAACCCCAAAAACCCAATCACTGTGAGACAGAGACAGTGCTCTGCAGGCCTAAGCTCTTACCACTGAATGACAGATTACACAGCCAAAAACATCTAATGTGCATTCCTGATCACCTACCTCAAGCCTCCACCTCCCCTTCATTTTTCATCCTGCTGCAGTCAATAGCTCCTCTTTCTCTCTCAGTGTGGGCATTCTCCAGACCCTCTTTTCTAGGGTTACTTCAGTCCCTGCTAGTTTCAAGTATCTCCTAACTATGGATGGCGCCAGACCTGTACCTCCAGAGACTGCTTCCCTTGGCGGCTGACTCAGGCAGCTGTCCCCCAGACTTGGACTAGTAGGTTCTGCCACACAGGGACAAATAACATGTAAAAAACCAAATACTTAATTCTTGCTCACCCAAACATCAGTCCTTACGTTCCTCGTCTGTCCAAGACATCACGCAATGCCAACACCTAGGTGTGACATCACCTCTAGCTCTGTTCTTCTCTCCTCACTGCCAAAGACAACTTTTCACCCTGTACTAAGAGTGGGCAATACACAGATTCTGAGCCAGTGAGGCACACAGAAATGATGCCTTCAGGCTCCCACTGAGCAGGCACCATTCGCAGACCTTGTGCTGGGTTCAGAGGAAAGGACACGATGCTGGCCGAGCCTACTGCGGCAAGAGCTAGGACCGCGTGTGCGCACCGTCGGGGTGGGAAATGCAAGCCGGACCCTGGCTATACCACCGCTCAGGCAGGGACTGAGCCCGGTTTACCCAGGTGCCCTCACCTGGGAAGTGACATGCTTGGTGAGCATAGCGAGGGGCTGTCCCTTCCACGACCCCCCGGAGCAGAGTGACCTGTTCCAAAGCCAAACCCAGACCTGTAACTCCAGGCTCCACGATCTTCAACAGCTGTCTCTGTCCTCGCCGCCCCCCCCCCCCCCCCCCCCCCCCCCGGCACCGCTGCGGGAACCCACTGACCCGTCCTTCTCCCGCCCAGGGCCCAAGGACGGCAGATCCCGAGGCTGGGCCGTCACCTGCGGGAAACGAGGTACGACCCCGGACTCCCCAGGTGGCCAGCCGTTCCCCAGTGGGCGCCCTTCTCCCGACCCCGCCCCGACCCCACCCCAGCCCCGCTCCGCCCCGATCTCGCCTCGGACCCCACCCGCCAGCCGGGGCTCCCTCTGCGCCGCTCGCCGCTTCCGCTTCGCTCCGCGTCCTCGCAGCTGCTACGCAACCGCGCGAGGACCCGGAGCAGGGCTGCCCGGCCCGAGGCCTGAAGGACCCCCTCCGCGGCGCGGGCTGGCTAGCGCGGTGCCGGGACGGAGCGCGGCAGGTGCGCGCCCTTGCGCCGGGCGGTCCGGCTTGTGGCGGGTGCGTGGCGGGCCTCGCGCCGGGCTGCTGCGCGAGGGGGGCGCGCGTCGATGCGGCTGGGTCGTGTTTTCCTTGTTGGCGTGGAAATTTGTGGCAAAGTTGTGTGGGGCTTTTTTGTTTCTTTACCAAAATATTTAGAAATCCTGTACTGGCCTCAATTATCAGTGGCTTTACGAAGCAGACCAAAAAGTAAACCTGAGGGGCGCCCGGGGGGCTCAGTCGGTGAAGCGTCTGCCTTCGGCTCCGGTCCTGGTCCCGGGGTCCTGAGATCGAGCCCCGCATCCGGCCCCTGCTCCGTGGGGAGTCTGCTTCTCCCTCTCCCATTCCCCCTGCTTGTGCTCCCTCTCTCGCTCTCTCCGTCCAAGGAATAAACAAAACCTTAAAAAAAGAGTAAACATGAAAAGCGTAAAAACAAACGTGCATTTGGTTTGTTTGAATCACTTGCTGCTGATTATGTCCTCATCAAGGAGTGCAAGTCCTGGGCTGCCTTACTTTGTTGTCACGGTCCGTTTCGTTAAATAGCCGAGGACTTTGGGACTCTTGCAATGTGCTGTTGGCTGGTCACTGTTCTGCGTCTGAAAATCTCTGCACGAAGTACTAAAGAATGCTAAGAAATGACAG